ATATATATATATATATATATATATACACACACACACACACACGTGTCTGTGTGTGTGTGTTTATGATCATATGAGCATGGAGAAAGTCATGGAAGGAGATCAGGCAGGTTACCTGAGGGCTGGAGAGGCATGCCATAGCGTGTGTGTGTGTGTGTGTGTGTGTGTGTGTAGATCTGCCAATTAAAAAAGTCTGTGGCAAAAAAAAGTAATTTGTATGATATGATCTCATTCTTATAAAATTATATCTCTCTATATGGGTATACACATATGTGTCAAAGAGACATGTAAGAAATGATCACCAAACTGTTTTAACGAGACCACATATTGCATGATTCCATTTATATGAAATGTCCAAAAACGGCAACTCTATAAAGACAGAAAGTAGATTTGTGGTCGCCCAGGGCTAGGGGTGGGAATGGTGATTAACTGTAAATGGGGTGACAAAAATATTCTAAAATTGGGTCATGGTGATGGTTACCCAACTTGGTAAATTTACTAAAATATCATTGAATTGTACACTTGAAATAAGTTGCATTCAATTCTAATTTTTTAGGAACACTGTGCAAACCACACAAAATATACCCACAGGCATCCAGTCTGAAACCCCTGACTTACCTAGTAGGGCCTTTGAGGTGATGACATGAGCTAGCCAGGGTCCATGCAGAGTTAAGTCCTTTCCATGTGTTGGCTACTAGGTCAAGTTGTTTACTTGGTTAATAAAAGTCATTAATGCTCACAATGACCTTTTGAAGTAGGTATGCTGTGGTCTACCCCATATTGCCAAGGAGGAGACTGAGGACTGGGGGGAGTATAGGAATTAGCCAAGACTGCATAGCTTGGAAATGGCAAAGCCAAGAAGAACTTTTTGGAAGAAACTCCGCATTACTCTTACATTTCTACACATCTTACAGGCAGAGCCTTCACTACCTTTGTCTGAATGGTCTTTTCAAGGACTTTTATACAGTGAACAGCCTCAGAAGACAAGATAACGTCCTCTTCTGGAGTGAATGGTGGGCACACTTATGGTCCAGTATAGTAGAGATACTGTCTCTGTTTGGGGAGAAGGACAGCAGGCTTGGGCTGCCATAACAAAATGCTATAGACTGGAAGGCTTAAACAACAGGTATTTATTTCTCATAATTCTGGATCCTGGAATTCCAGAGATCAAGGTGCCAGCTTGGCCGAGTCCTGCTGAAAGCCACCTTCTTGCTGTGTAGTCACATGGCGGAGAGCAAGCTCTAGTCTCTTCTTTTTTTATAAGGACACTAATCCCATCATGGGGCCCCACCCTCATGACCTCATCCAAACCTAATCACCTCCCAAAGGCCCTACCTCCTAATACCCTCACGGGGGTGGAGGTTAAGTTTTCAACATATGAATTTTGGGGGAACAGAAGCCTTCAGCTCATAACACTGCCCATTATGAAAGACCTAGGTTCCTTAAGCCCAGGGTTCTCCTGGACACAGCCCACTACATCTGCAGGCATCCCTGGGCCCCCTGCCACAACCTTGTGGGAACTGGATCTCAGGCAACCAGTGCAGGAAGATGCAGATACACTGTTGCCCTTTGTCTCTGGCCCAGGAGTCTCGTGTCTTCTGCCAGCAAACTGTGACAGGTTGATTTGTCAGCCTGCACAAATGTCGGCACCTTCAAGAGTTCTTTACAGAACTCAGGTCTGTCTAAATCCAAACCTCAGGGGCCTGCTGCAGAGCAGGCACTGAGTACAGGTCAGCTCCCTCTCCCTTTCTTCCCTCTACGGCACACAGAGCAGGACCAAACCATCCCTGCAAGTATCATGGGCGTCTCAGATCCCAAACCACAGGCTGAGTCTGGGTCTCAGGGACGGAATTCACGTATGCCAAGCCTCCCTGCTCAGACATCCTCGTCTGCTTCTGCTGACTCAGGACTTTACATTGCTTTGTCAACAGCCAGGGATATCAATTCTGAATTCATTTCAGCAGGCAATTTTTAGTTTGAATACATTTATTTCCCAAAAGACACTGATTATGTTCCTGGAAATACTAGTAATGGGCTCCATGTCAAACTCACTTAAGAGCAGCTAAGGGTAGTTATGTATACAACTGCGATGAAATTTAGTTCTAGGTTTTTGTAGGCAAAAGGATGGACTTCTTACCCATCTAGAAAAGTCATCAAGGCTGGAGGTGTCCTTTCAAAGGGTCACGCTTATCAAGGGTCCTGGCTCTTAGCGGAGTTGCAAATCAGTAATTAAGGCCAATGATTGGCAAGGACCTGGTATGTGACCATGGCTGGGGGGAGGGAAGGCTCCAGATCTAAGCCAAGTGCCTCCCCCACTCCTCCTCCTAGCCAAAGTTACATTTCAGCCACAAGAAAGTGGGTGACTGTCCAGCCAGAAATAGAGCAGGGTTCCGAATGGAGGTGACCTTGCCTACCAGGAGAAATTTAGTAATGTCTGGAGACATTTTTGGTTGTCACAGCTCAGGGAATGCTATAGGCAGATATTGGCTAGAAGCCAGGAATGCTTCTGAACATTCTATAATGCATAGGACAGCCCCCATAACAAAGAATTCTCTGGCACAAAATACCAGTCGTGCCGAGGTCGCAAAATCCTGCCTTAGAGTTTAGATCGTTGCTGTCCAATTCAGCAGCCACTCCCACACGTGGCCATGAAGCACTGACATGTGGCTGTACTTGAGGTGTGCCCTAAGTGGAAAATACACACTGGATTTGAAAGACTGAGTGCCAAAAAATATGAAATATTGCATTAATAATTTTTATATTGATTACATGTCGAAACGATACTATTTTTTATATAGTGGGTTAAACACATACATTTAAAAAATTAGATTCACCTGTTTCTTTTTACTTTTCTGAATGTGACTACAAGAGAATTTTAAATTCCATATTGTATTTCTATTGGACAGTGTGGTTTAGAACTTCACCTCCCTCCTCTCCTCCTCCCACAGACTTTTTGGGTCTTCTGTAAAACACTTTGGGTTCAAGGCCACCATTAGCCCCAAAATCACTTTTGGGTGAATTAGGAAAAAGCATCCCTTCCTTGAGACACTTTTGTCTCCGCCAGTCAGAAAATGGTGGGAATGTACTGATGCTGTTGGAACGCTTCACTGCCACCTACTGGAGGGTTGCCGTAATAATGTAGACCATGTGAGTGTCGCCCCTGATGGTGGCACCAAGCGCAGAGGACGGTCTCTGCAACGCTGGACGCCCACTTGTCTGTACCGGACGCGGAGTTTGCAGATAAGGGGTTTTCACCCCAATCCTCTCCCTCAACAGTTTGTAAGGTTCTCTTGTACTCACACATGGAGTTTTTAATATCAGAGAAAAGACTCTGATTGCCGTCAGACTCTATTTGAGGAAGAAAAAAGCATTATCTGGATGCTTTCTTTTGGATCTTTATGTTTTTTCTAGGTGTGTTTCTGGGGATTACAAAAATACAGAAAAAGACCAAATGTTTCATTTCTGGATTGGAAAAGCCCTCACACTGTCTTACTCCTTGAGTGAGCATTGCTGTGCATTATCACGGCCAATGTTGGCAGGAAAGGGGTTAGGGTCCCTCTCTCAAGAAACTTAGACTCTAGAGCAGGGGTTTCTGTACCCAAACTTTTTCTTGAAGGGCAAAATGGTAAATATTTTTATTGACTTGCGGGCCATGTGTTCTCTGTCACAACTGCTCCACTCCCCTGTTGTGCAAACACTGCCACAGACAATATGGAAATGAATGTGAGTGGTCGTGTTCCAATAAAACTTTATTTACAAAGGGTCATGGGCTGGATTTGGCTCATGGTTCCCAGTTTGCTCTATAGAACAGTGGCTTCAACAGCTGCTCCATGGCCAGACCCATCCTGCACATGTATTTTATTTTTTGCCTATTTTAAAAAATTATAATTGGTTGCCAACATTGAAAAACAAGGGGACTTTTACATAAAATCCAGGTGTGCAGCTGCTCTTGAAGAGACAGCAATATTGAACTCCCATTTACTCATGGCCACAATTGGCTGTAGCTGAATATTGACTGCCCTTCTAGAAGAGGGCAGGTCTGATTGACCACTTCACTCATTTAAATCACCTGCTTGGGTACTGTAGGCATTTGGAGTTTGACCCCTGGTCCAAAGCATACTTGATGAAAACTAGGCTGGCACGATGTCAAAATAAAGAGACGGAAATGGAAAAGTTTAGTGAGTCAGCCAGAAGTATGGTGTCATAAACCAACAGTTGAACCTCTTACGAAAGGTTAGTAGGGTGGCTAACCACACTAAAGGTTAGCCACCTGGCCAAACCTTCTAGCGAATGGGATACCCAAGTGAAGTTCCCATCAGTCCAGCCCGGCTGGTTAATGGAACCACTTACTTTGATGACGTCTTCGTCTGTGGACTTGCATTCCACCGACTCCGAGATATCCGTCACGGCACTGTTCTCCTCCACAGAGACAACCCTGATGGGCACGGCTACTGTCTTTCCGGTGAGGATGGCGGTGTTCAGAAGCTCAGTGTCCTGCCAAAGGAACCAGACATAGCCGGGTCAAGGGGGCTATTCAGTTGTGTAGGACACTAGAGAAACCTTCCAAGGTGTTTTCCCTGCTCTCCTTGTCTAGACAAGATACTGTAGCACTTACCTTGAGCAAAAGCGCCCTTCTTGGGAACAATTTCCGAGGAATATTTAACAATTTACTTTTAGTTTACTTATGATCATCTTCTTAGTTTCTAACAACAACAATCAAGAATTATTTATCGTTTTTCTCAATTGCAGAGACCAAGTTACACATCAGTGAGATTCTGGTTATAAGCAACAGAGACTGACTCTGGCTGATTTGAGCAACTGCAGGAGGTTGAATAATGCACGTCCCCATCAAGATGCCCATGTTCTAATCTCCAGAAACTGTGAATCTGTTACCTTACATGGCAAGAGGGATTTTGCAGTTGTGATTAAGTTAAGGATCTTGGGATGGGAAGATTATCCTGGATTATCTGGGGTGGACCCAATGTAATCATAACAGTCCTTATAAGAGGTGGCCATGAGGGTCAGAGGAAGGGGAGGGGATGTGGCGATGGAGGCAGAGGTCACACTGACGGGATCATGAGCCAAGAGAAGTGGGTGCCCTCTAGAATCTGGAAAAGGAACAGATTTTTCCCTAGAGCCTCCAGAAGGAACACAGCCCTGCTGACACCTTAGTTTTAGCCCCATAACACTCATTTCTGACTTGTGACTTCCAGAATTGTAATATAATAAATTTGTATTAATCTGTAATGCAGCAACAGGAAATGCAGGTTCTTATTGGATGGATCCTGGTCCATTCACACAATCAAAGGGAAAGCTGAAAAAGGCTTTGGGAAGGCAGGACCCTAGTCAGCCTCCAGGATATTAAAACCAGGAAAGAATGGGTGGTCCCTCCAGAGTGAAGTGGAACGAGTGGCTTCAATCGTTTCCATCCTTGAGTCACTCTGCTTAAGATTTAAATTCTCTGCAAGGAGTCTGATTGGTTTAATTTGGGTTAAGGGCCCATCTCTTACCCAGAGGAGGATGGGGCCACTTTGACTGACACACCTACCAAGACTGATTCCAACAGGAGAAAGGTAGTTTAACAAAAATCAAGACTATGTTATCAGAAGAGGATAGAATGGAGAGATAATAATCAAGCAAACAACAGCAACAATAGACGTCCAGCACAAGACCAATGAGTCAGGGAATGTTTATCCTCAAATGCCCATGATCACTACACCTTGGCCACTGGGGCTTCATTTTTTTTTTATGCAGACTTTTCAGCAAACCAAACTGTCTTCCTCCATTGCCCCCTGGGAGCCCATTCCATCACAGCAATAGAGACTCTGGATTATCCTGTTCATGTAAAATGATTCGCACCACATCTCTCCCACATGTGATTTGCAAAGTGATGAAGAAGATATGTTCTCTTCTGAATATGTAGGCTACGACCTGCCTGCACTTTTGTAATCCTCTTTATGGCCAGATGAAGATGGAAAAGGGTCTGTGTCTTTGGGATGACTATTAGCACTTTTTACCTTCGGGCCAATTTCTCCCCAAGTCCCTCTCCAGAAACGCTGCTCCACTTTGAACCAGGAGATGCAAGGAAAGAGATTTTCTCAGTTCTTTCTCCAGGGAAGCAATTGACACAGAAACGACCTTTTGCATTAAACAAGAGCACCGTTGGAAGAGTCATCCGTCATCAGAGGAGTCCCAGCCTCTCTCTCGTGCTTGCGCCCAGCAGCCAGCAGTTAAATAACCCTCTGCCGGGTCTTCTCCCGGGTCCACGGGACTCCCAGAGCTGGGGCCGCAATCTGGGCAGCTCGCACATTGGCTATTACAGATGCTAAGAATACCGCGGAAATTCCCCAAGTCCATTTTCAGGTTCATTACAGGTAATGGGCTCAGAGTTCAGTCTTTACATTTTCTCTCTCAGAGTAGTCTTTGGCTAATGGCTTCATTAGAGCAGCAAACTCCCTCGTGGATTAATTGGGATTAGCTTTTGAATGGTCCTTGAAGTTTCTCACACACATGCACACACACACACACACACACGCACACAGATATGCACACACACACACCCTCCCCTACCTAACACTTCCTATCCCTAAACTGAATTACATCAAAATTTAGACTGGTTGGACGTTAGATATTTTTCACTGACCAATATCAATCTCTGGAGCAGAGAACTAACAGTCATAGAAATACCAAATGGGTGAAGGAAGCATTGGCCTCCAGGATAAACTGGCTAAGACACGTGGGGGAATTCCCTGTATTGAAAAATTACTTTCCCAGTCAGTAGTTCTGGTCTGTGGTTATTACTTGGTGGGCACTGGGAGTCCAGAATCCTGGACCCTGCTCTGCGGTTTATTAGCCTTCTGTATAATCTCGATCCCATCTCTTATCTTTTGAAATCTTCATTTCTTCACTTTACCAATTAGGGGTTGGGCCACATCATCTGTAACTACTTTTTCTGGCTGTCAACTCCTAGACATCCGTGAAGATTCAGGAGCCCTTTAACGAATACTTGCCGTGCACCTTGCATGTTCTTGTCACTGGGGTATAAAGTAGTGAACCAAGGGGACAAGTCCCTGCTCACACGGATGGACAGAATGACAGGGGAGACACGAACGAGCAGGCCATCACAGTGTCGTGTTCGTCAGGACTCTTTCATTAGCTAGGGGCAAAAATCCAACTCAAGTTGGTCTGAGCAAAAAGGGGGTATTGCTTATATAACTCCAATAGCCGAGGGGAGATTCCAGCCTCAGGATTTGCCAGAACCTGGCCCTCAAAACACGTTGCAGTTAATTCCCATGTCTCTTCACCTCTGGACGCTCTTTTCCTCTGTTTGGTTTCATTAATAGGTAAGCTGTGTCCATACAGTAGACTCCCAGCTCCAGGCTCCTATTCTCCATGGCTCAAGTCCATGCTGCTCCCTCATACAATGCAATAGCAAAAAAACAAATAACCGATTAGAAAGGGAGCGAGGATCTGAATAGACATTTTTCCAAAGAAGCCACCCAGATGGCCAGCAGGCACATGAAAAGATGGCCAGCATCACTAATCATGAGAGAAATGCAACTCACAACCACAATGAGTCACCACCTCACACCTGTTCGGGTGGCTGTTATCAAAAAATCAGAAGATGACAAATGTTGCCAAGGATGTGGGGAAAAGCGAACTCTTGTGCACTGTTGGTGGGAATGTAAATGGGCTCAGCCATTAGGGAAAAGTGTGGAGCTTCCTCAAAAAATTAATAATAGAACTACCATACGACCCAACAATCCCACTTCTGGGTATACGTCTAAAGAAGAAGAAGAAGTCACCATCTTGAAGAGTTGTCTGCACTCCCATGTTCGCTGCAGCATTATTCATGGTGGCCAAGATATGGAAACAACCGAAGTGGCTGTCAACAGATGAATGGATAAAGAAGATGTGGCATATATATACAACAGAATATTATTCAGCATTAAAAACAAGGAAATTCTGCCATGTTCTACAACATGGATGAATCTGGAGGACATTATGCTAAATGAAATAGGCCAGACATAGAAAGACAAATACTGCATGATCTCACTTATATGTAGAATCTAAAACAAAGTGATACTCACAGAGGCAGAGAATAGCTTGGTTGTTGTCAGGGGCTGGGGGTGGGGGAAAAAGGGGAGACGGTGGTGACAGGGAACAGACATTCATTAATAGGAAGAACATGTTCCAGAGACCAAACGTGCAGCATGGTGACTACGGTTAACAATAATGCATGGAATACTTGCAGTCTGCTAAGAGAGTCGATCTCAAGTGTTCTTACCACACACACACACACACACACACACATGCGCGCTAACTACGTGAGGTGATGGATGTGTTAATTAGCTTGATCGTGGCAACCAGTTCACAACAGATACATATATCAAAATATACCTCTTAAATATATCCAATTTTTATTTGTCAATCATACCTCAATGAAGCTGAAAAAAAATCCATGTCTTTCTGGTAAAATCCTCAAATGGGGTGTCAGTGACTCTGACTGGGTGTCAGTCAAGTGTCGCTATTTGAACTGTGGCCAGGCAGGTAGAAGAAGCCAGTGGGCCGGGCTGGAGTGTTGCCAGGTGGAGGTCACGTGCTGAGTGTCTCCTGTGGGTCCCTCCAGATCCCTCGCTTCCTTTCCCGCCCTGCACTGTGTCCCACGAGGCTGACTCGAGTGGACGAAGTTACAGACTCCCCTGCCTTCTGGCTTCTGGCCACCTTTGGACGTGCAGCAAAACTGTGTTTCCCAGAGCCTGTGTGGTTGGTTGGAGCCATGTGACTAATTGTGGCCAATAAGTTTGAGCTGACATGACGCATGTCACTCCGAAGCTAGAGCAGTTAATTGCTCCTTCAGGACCCTTCAGGACTCTTTTTTCCTGAGTCAGAGTGCCTGGAATTATTTGGGATGGTAGCTGCCCCATCTGCCTGAGGCTGCGAGCACCGTGATGGGGACGCCCTTCTGCTGACCAGCTCTGGGTATAAAGCCTGAGCAAGAAATAAAAATAAACTCTTGGGAAATTTGGGTTGTTTGTTACTGCAGCATATTCCAGCTTATCCTGACTGATGCAAAGGGAGAAGGAAGACTCAAGGATGACCCCGTTTACTGAAACAAGAGCAGGAGAAGGCTATGGCGATAAGTTTAGTTTCGAACATTTTTGCTTCAGGTACCTGGGTAATATTCCTATAACTGCTTAGCAAGTATTCAAGGTCATTTTGATATTTTCTTTTTGCCATGCATACCCTCCATTGATGAACTGGATGCTTGTTTTTGCTCTGCAATTTAGACCCGCAATTTCTCGAGGTCCAGGAACTACGTGATTGCTATGGACTGAATTGTGTCCCTCCAAAATTCACATGTTGAAGCCCTAGCCCCCAAGGTGACTGTATTTGGAGACAGGGCCTTAAAAGAGGTAATTAAGGTTAAATGGGGTCATAACAGTGGGGCCCTACTACAACAGGACTGGTGTCCTTGGAAGAAGAGGAAGAGA